TAGGCTCCAGCACCCATGACCAAAGAGGATAAGTGGCTTAGATAGTGTGTGTGTGTGTTTGTGTTGCTATCCACTCAATGAATAACTCAGCTCACTCAACCTATTTTCACATAGAACATCAACAAAACATGTCATTTGACCTGGGGATAGGGGGGTGTACGAACTTTAGTATACTGTACAAATCAAAATCAAGTAAAGAGTACAGGGATTGCCTTAGTTTGAATATGTAGTGATGTGCTGTCCTCCAGCTGATTGCATAATGTTGTGGACTTGTTTTGGCCATATACCCACACTCACACACAAACACACACACACGCACGCACACACGCACACGCACGCATCCCCTTCTATCATCTGCAGTGAATGCTCTCTGCTCTGTGTACGTTGGCTGAGATTTCAAAGTCTTCTCATTTAAGTATGTTGGATGACAGGAGATGACCACCTGAAGGGCTTGAAGGGTACTCTTTACATTTACACACACACACACACACCACACACACACACCACACACACACACACACACACTGATGGATTTGTAAGTGCTAGACCCCTGAACCTTTCTTCTTTTTCCTAGAGGCGAAAGCTGTCACACATTTGTATTATATTCTCAGCCTGTTGAACACCAACCATACCAGCAAAACTGTTTGCCATTGATTTGTAATTGACAGACACACACACGTGATGTGCCAGGTAGAAATGAAAAAGAACATTACACAGCCTTTCTCAACTGATTGTATATATTATTGCTGATTTTGCACATTTCTGTAAACTAAAAAAGTTTATTTATTGTAGAATCAGCAACCTCTACTGACATACATTTATTAGAAGCATAAAAATGATTTATTTTAGCCTGTCGCTGAAGCTCCTCCTGTAGCCTGCAGAGCTGAAAGAGGTTTTGTTTATGGGGCAAGGGTCCCCACAGGGCAGGATTATATGAGTCCATCAAATAAGGCCCATCCAAGCTTTTTGATGACTCTTTTCCAAGGTCAATCTCTCTCTCTCTCTCTCTCTCTCTCTCTCTCTCTCTCTCTCTCTCTCTCTCTCTCTCTGTGTCCCTGTCTGTGGTTGTCTCTGTCCCTGTCTGTGGTTTTGTGAGCTCCACCTGTTCACAACAGCCATGGTCTTTGCTTCCAAAGACAAACGGCCCCCCACCATGACCACAAAGCCTAAATGTTCTAGTATATTTTAAGTACAATCGTTACTTCTAGCTGTTGTGTGGAAACAGATGTAACGTAAAGAAGAGAAAACAAGATACCTTTTGCATCAATTTGCAATTAATGGTGACTGTTCTCCTTGATGTTTCAAATTATTCCTCCTTTGATATGATATCTACATCTAGTATCATGCTATAGCAGCCTGTACTTCTTTTATACCCATATAAAAGGTTTTGTTGCAGTTGAAGGTGAAGGTATGTAAGGTGAAGGCCCTATAAGGCTGGGAACAGGAAATCTAGTCTAATACAGTCTTCCTTATGAATGCTGGCCAGTAATTCTGTTATGTTTGTTTTTCACGTTCTTTGTTTTTATACGTACAAACCTCCAGCAATTTGGGACAGTATTTGAAATGGTAAGATAAACAAAAAGCAATACATTCTGTTTGACCTGTATTACATTTAAAATTGTGTTAAAACTGTGCTACATCACCTTTACTTTTAACAACACTTAACCGTTTGAGAGCTGAACACACCAGCTGATCTGGAGTTCTTTATCTACCATTGTGTAAGTCTTCAGCTATGCAATTAGACGAGGCCTTTATTATTGTATTTTACAATTTTTAATGTGCCACTTGTTTTCAATAGGAGACAAGTCTAGACTGCTGGCAGGTCACTCTTGAGCCCACACTCTCTGATTAAGCAGCTGTACTAATACACCCCTACACCATGACAGACCCTGACTTTTGAACTTTAAACTGGTAACAATCTGGATGGTACTTTTCTTCTTTGGTTTAGGGAGCACTATGTCCGTTATGTTCACAGACAATCTCAGACCTCAGTACACATTGCCACTTGCAACAGTCCAACTCAGCAAGCCCAGAGAAGTTGGCAGTGTTTCTGGACATTGTTGACATTAGCGCAGTCTTGGATTTGTGCATGCAGTGATGAACAGTAGTAGTGCAGAGTAGAGGGTGAAATGGACTTCATCACTAGTCAGGCAATGCTGTTGGATTACGCGCTTACACATTTTTTTGAGAAGTAGTAGACCTCAACCCATTCTTGCTCATAAATGGCTAGGCCTTTTCTGGATGCTCCTTTTATATATAAGCATGATTTTTTTTTTTTTAAATACAACTTTCCTACCTTTTAAATCAATTTTTTTTATTTAATCTGCTCAACTTTTTTGGAATGTTGCAGGCATCAATTTCACAATGATTGATTATAAATTATAAATGATATTTATAAACAAGTAGTCTGAACAGACTGCAGGTGGAAGGGTAGGCATTCTCATTTAAATGAAATTCTTTTGTTGTGACCAGAAATTCTTTTGTTGCTGTCTGTGCACAAATGTAAGAAACGGACCAAGAAATAAGTGCACACTGTACATCAACAAAATGTGAGAAATGAGCCAAGATGTCAGAGCATTTTCCAGAATTAAAAAAAATATTGGAATAATCAGACTGATCAGATTATAAAAAGACATTGACATTGTGGCATATGGAGTGGAACTTACTTTAACTGCTTAAACTACTACACAAGTATCAATGAATTTATACAGTTTGGAGGCTGTGAATACAAAGAGGTTGACACCCATGCAGTATATACACCACTGTTCAAAAGTTTGGAATCACTAGTCATATTGAGTGTCTATGGTATTTTAACCTGTAAAACCTTCTACAGATTAAAATAAAATTCTTGATGCTGTATGTCTCATTACAGAATCATATACAGTTCTGTTCATCATTGTAGAGAAATCATCATATTGGATAAGAAGAAAACATAAAAAGTCGCCTGTGCACAAGTTATGTCAGATTTTATATTTTATGTTTTCTTTTTTGTAATAAGTTGAACTCAGCTGGATGGAAATAAATAGAAATTGTGCACTAAAATTGCCAAAAATGCCATATTTAGGTGTGTTTTCTGAAAAGAATATATTAACATGTTTTCTCTTTTACAAAATCAACAAAACATGTTATCTGCCCAGGGGTTTTCAAATGTTTGCATACGACTGCTTGTGTCAGAAAGAGAGACGAAAAGCCCAAACCTGTAGCCCATCCTCTCTCTAAGTGGCCCTCAGAGGGCATGTCCTACTGTGAGCGGCATTGCAGGGCAAGCTGTGATCAGACGGGCGTTGAAAGACGGACGCCTCCACCTGCCCGTATCAGCCTTGCCCATCACAGCCACATTCCACAGCCCAGAACTGACAAGAGGAGCTCAGAAATCACTTCTGCCTGGCTAGGGAGGAACAGTGAGGCTTCACCAGGATGCTCTGGCTGGCATGGTGGGAGGTGAAAATAAAACCTAATAAGTTTGGTGAATTTAGGATTATTTTGAATATAATATTAATCAAAATAGATACAGTTTACAGTTAGTGATACAGACAACTGGGTACAAGATATTTTGGGTTTAAACCTTTCATTTTCAGCCTATTTGTCTAATTCTTAAGCAGCTGTTACATAATGAAGCTTACATTTAATATAATGAAGGTTCTTTTCGTTGGCCTTCTCAGACATGTCCTTTGCAACTTCGCAATGCACTCACATTAAGGCACTGACTTTCATGTTTTATTGTAGCAAAGTGTAATATATTTAAGCTTAAGTTTGAGCAAAACTGCCATATGTCAAAGTCTGGTGAAGACCACTGGCTTGGCATAGCATTATGTGGTATTGCCAATAGGGAGGCCAATGCAGTGGCCCAGCCTCATACAAGGCTCTGGCATTCTGTGAAACCCAAAGGTAACAGACTAGACATTTAAAAATATTTAAACACGGTTTGAAATTGAAAAGTTTTTGACATTTTCTACTGAAATATATATATATATATATATATCTATATATATATATATATATATATATATATATATATATATATATGTTCCATTCCAAACTGATATTAATTTGGTGAGTCCACTCTCTTGGATCACAGTATATAAAGTATAATCTCAGATTCATTTGGAGAATCCCCTTATTTAAAGGTTCCACTTCCTGAGCCTAATGAAACCAAGCCATGAAACTCGATCTTCATAGTATGAGCTGAGTTGGAGGTAAGAGATGTTTTTTTTTGAACGTGGCTCTTGGATTAGTCCCACAGGTTTCTCCCACCTTGATAAATCTCCCAAGGAATGCCTAGCCTTTCAGCGGTCCGCTCTCTCCTTTCCCAGGTCAAGGGGGTGGGGGGAGTCCATAGATTTTTATCTCTGCTTCTAGCTTAGTTTACTGTGCAGTTTTGCTTATCTTGGCCACCTTATATGTAGTGGTAAGGTTCAATTATAACCAATGGCAAATGAGTATTATCTTCATTTGATTTGGAGAGCTGATATTCATATTCTTAAACAGCTGAATTTGTTAGTTACTTTTAACAAAAGCATAAAGAAGCCAAATTTGTCATTTTAAATTGATTTATTGCTATAGGAGGATGCTAACCAATGAGACTCTGATGGTTTTCCATAAATCACAACATCATAATTCATTTGTATTCTTGTCAAAAACAGGTGGTAATGTGCAGAGGTCAAATGTCATGTCAAAATTTTTTTTTTGCCGGAAACTAAAGGTAATACCGAGGATGGAGTTACGAATGCTTTTAAAACTCGAGGGGAAAAATGACTGATTATTTTGGAGATTAATGTTTGCTCTGAAGGACTGCGTCGACATTTGGCTCGTCATATTTCATTTGTTGGACATGCAATAAATGCATTATAACATGCTCTAAAGTTGTGCCCAGGAAAAACTGTACTGGAAGCTTGTTTTGAGAAAGAGATACCAAAGAAATTCCTTTTCTATACAAGCTAAAATGTCAGTTTTAAATATATGATTTCAATCAAACGTATTTTTTACTTTTTGTTTTACAGACTGAGGAGAAAACGACTAACCCACATAACTGGAAACATGAGCCTGCTTAACGGACAAAGAACACAGAAGAAATATATATTTTGTCAAAAATATATGTCTTTTACCAAGCTCTTTTACCAACCTATTATTTTCATCAAAACAGCTTTAAGATATGCTATAAATATTACTTTCATTTCAGATGCAGTTTAGGGAGGACAAAACACATCAAAAGTCATAGTTAACGTTCACTGTATGAGTCTAACATGTCTCTATGTACTGTCATATGCAAAGGTTTGAACACTTTTGGTCAAATTACATATGTTGTTGAAGTGAAAAAGTTAACACAGCCTCCACGGAATGGCATTTTTCTGCAAATTTTAATTTAATGCACATTTTTTATTTATTTGGTAACTTGAACTTATTGGACAATATATGTATATATGAACTAAATATAAGCTTTTGCATATGGCGGTATTATTATGAATTCTAAACTATGGATTTATGTTAAAGAAGTGCACCGGATTAATTACATAGTTTAAAATGTGGACCTGTTTTTCCATTGATTCATACTGTTTACACTGATTACAGTTTAGATTGTTGATTGTTATGAGTCTAACATGCCTGTATATATAATGGCATATTTTTTTTGCTTATTGTAAAAAGGATATAATGCCTTAATAATCATCCTTATTATGGTATCTCTAAACCCGAGACTAACGGTTGCTCCCTTGGTTTGGCAGTGTCTGCTTGAGAGTTTGACGTGATAAGCCTGTGGTACTCTTTAATTCTCATTGCTAATTGTTTTGTGTGTTGACTTTCTATGTGGATTTTTTTTTTTTGATAAATACATTAAAATAGTGTAGATTAGACTATAGTCTAATAATAAAGAGTATACAGTACATTGTCCATTCCGATGAAGTATTAAAGATCTAGGACATTTTGTTGCTCCTGGCACTTGTAAGTAAAATTAATCTTTTTTCTATAATTTTATATTTCATTTTGATGTTTCATATTTTCATTGTGATGACTATGATTAAGATGATCTTTCTGTATTTTTCTGTATAACTTTGTGCTTATTTTCAAGATATACAGTACCATTCAAAAGTCTGTAAAAACTGTAAATCATTTCTTTCATTATCTAGTGTGTCTAGCTTTCTTTTTGGGAGGCCTGCTTTTAGTTTTTAAATAAAACCTGCAGGGATTTTTTTTCTACACCCCTAAAGTTCAGTCTTAGAAGTTGGTTGCATTTTTCGTTTAATACTGTACTGCACAGTACAATATGGTACTAGTACTATGGTCGCCAAGGCTGCAGCTTTTATTAAATTGTTCCTACTGCTGTTGGGCAGTTTGCAGTGAGGTGAGTGGTCATAAAAACGCCTCCATGCTTTATGGCTCATAGGAAGTGGTTTAGACAGTAAGAGCTCTCTCCATTTTCTTTGTGAGGCATCTCCACTTGCTCATGCAGTGTGGGAAGCTTCTACTCGACCTTGCAGTTACTCTTTGTACAGTGTGTGCTCTGTAGGAGCAGCACTATTTTACGTGCTCTTGACCATGAGCAAGCCTTACGGTTATATTAAGGCTTGATACTTGTAAAGATGAATGGAAGAAATATATATATGCATATACATATACTGAATGTCAATATTTAGGAACATATTTAGGATATACTATTCATCTAAAAATATATAGTATATATGTGTAAAAATACATATGTAATGGTGTCAATTTTTAATATTTACATGTATGTCAGAAATACATGTAAATATATTGTACACTATTGTTGACATATTTTGAAGCATATATATGTACATATATTTCCTTTTCATATGGATTTGTGGTTAAGTATATTTCCCCTTTTGGATCATAAAATACATCTATCTGTGTATCACCTACCTGTATTACTAAAAAAATGAAAATTGCAAATGGTTGTTAAAATGCATGTATTATTGTAATGCTTACAGTTTAAATTCAACAAGTTCAAAAGTTTCATTAAATAAAAATGAGCTAAAAATACACATATGTTTCTCCTGGAAATGATTAGGTCTTCTCTGAAGGCCTAGACAGTCCTGAGAGTTCCCTTCTGATTTGAACAATTTGTGAAAAATAGTCCAACAGACATGGTCCTTGGAATGAAATTTGGTCACATTAACATGCATTAAAATGTAAATGACGTGCTATGGCCCAAATGAAATGAAAACTTCATGCACTAAATGAAAGAGTCTATCTTTATAGTGAAGTTGGATCCGATTCAGTTGTTATATTGAGTGCTTGTTTCTATGCCTTTGAGGCAGATGATGATAACACAGAAGACGCCAACATGCAGTACATTGGGTTCTGTTTGAAACACCAGTAAACCACTGGCTCTCCACATGGCTCTTGTGGCTAGCTGAGGTAGAGGGGCGCACAGGGAGAGGAGGGGTGGAAGTAGCAGAGGAATGTAGAGATGACCACAGCACCGAGAGAGTGGTGCCAGTGGAAAGGGACAGGAATGCCGCCCTTCTCCCTGCTCTCTCCGCTCTTGATCCACAGGGGTAAAGTATCCCAGGATCCTCTATTTATACAGTGTGTATATTTACAGTGGCGGATGGTCGGGATGCTGCAGCGTGCGAAAGCAAAAAGAAAGTGTTGCTCTCCTTACTGGGGGAGAGTTATTCTGAGGTGGCGAGAGGTGTGGGCTGAGGTGTTGGTGACGTTGCTGAGACTTTCAGGGCAGTAAAGCCTTGCCCTGGACTGACATTCAACAGAACCTGGTTTAGAAGTTTTACTCAGATGAACGACTAGCTCCACCCATCTAAATCTTAACTGCTAATGTGGCTAATGATAAATTACTATGAACAACCACCATGCCATTACTTTCTTACTTACTGGTTTTTATTGTTAGCAATAGCATAGATGGTTGAACTATGCCCTAAATGCTGAGGGCCTGCTGGTGAGTTCAGGTTTTCATACCGTACTTAAACTAATAACTCTTACTGGACAATTGGGATGACATTATTTAAGGGCGTTAACCCTCACACGGCTATCTGTACAAGAATATTTACCAGTGATCATAGCCAGGTGTGGAGTTCACATGCGGATGCAATTGACAGACCATGAGCTGAAAAAAAAGCATCTTTACTTTAGTGACCAAGATGATACTGGAGTTACTTCCTAGTAAAGTTGGTTCATGTCTAAGATACATGTCAATGGGCTTGTGAAGGCCACAATGTGTACACTTCCAAAATTTCAGCTACACATTGTGCGAATCTGTGGACTCACTGGTAGTGTTTGAGGAAGAACAGGATCCAAATGATACTCAATCTGAACTAGAACTAGCGCAAAATCAAGTGTGCAGTCTGACAATAAGCAAAAGAGGTGAGACATCATAAACATTTATAAGACCCATGTTCAAAATGTTACAAAAACGATGTGTTAATAGTATGAACTTTAATTAAACTGAGCATCTTGTCAGAGTTTTCTGTGCGCTACTGTGTTGTCTATCACTGTAAAAAGATGCACAAGACTTCCTTTATTTTTTTATGACAGTTCAGATCTGTAAGCACTTCTTATTGGCCTGTTTAATCAGACTAACAATAAAGCACAACTGAGGTGTGACATATTCCTACTCATGAGTTTGCTTTTTTGTGAGGGAAACTAAATAAAAATGTACACATTTTTAAATGGCCACATTCTTTACAGATCTAATAAATGCAACAACAGCAATGTGAAATCATGACAGATCAAACAGCAGAAATAGCCATGTTCAGCCTTGAAGCATTAACATGATTAATTCTTAGATAGAGAGGAAAAACATGAGACATTCCTCTTTGTTTTCTGATCATTATGGTTTGGACACTGCCTTCTGCCATTCACATTATGTGCAAATACAGTCATTTGTGAAAGTTTGGGTGGCTGACGTTTTGTTGATTTAGCACATTTTAATGCACAATTTCTGTTTATTTGCTAAATGTAACATATTAGAACAAATATGATGTTGCTAATGTTCGCGGATATGTAGACACAAAAGTATAATTCAGCCTGTAATCATAATAAGCTATACTGACAACCATTTGACTTGCAATCAGTGTATACAATATTAAGAGCAGCCATTATTTATGCAATATTAAAGCGACCATTGTTAACCACGGTTCTGTGCTCTTGCAGTATCATCTTCATTTAGCATGAGAAAAACTCCATAACAGGATCATCAAGAGGCATTTTGGACTGAATGGACTGATGATATTTGTAAAAGTTACTGAGGCACGTGTGTTTAATGGCAGACGTGACTTTCAGGAATCTTGACATACTTGTTCACTCGAGTGCAAGATGTGAAGAGACAATAGCCGTGATCAGCCATGATGGTACTGATATAATAATGAGTTGTTTATTAGCACCCTTCAGGGCAGTGGTGTGGCCGGGGGGTTAGAGGAGTTGAGCGGAGTTAGCAGTTTGCCTCTTATCACCCTGTTAGACAGTGACACATATCCACAACTGCTCTGTGCAGCTGGAGGCAGCCATACTTCAACACAGCTATATGTCATATGTAAGGTTGAGAGATGTTCAAGTGCGATAAGGCTATGGGTGCTGATAGGAATGCTGAGAATGACTTGGGGAAGTTCCTTTTTTGCATAGGAAGAGTATTTCACAGGTGACACAGGAATATGCTATTTCTATATTGCATGATAAGCTTTCATAACATTTGACTCCCATAGGAAAAGATCCATGGAAGAGATTCAGTGTTTTATACTTCATTGTAGTCTTCAAAAGGCTTGTAGATTTGCTGTAACAGAGCTTGTACTAAATGCTGCCAGCCTAAAGGCATTTTACTGAAACATAAGCATAAAGGCTGATTTAAAAGTACCTTTCTGGGCAAAAAATAAATTGTTGCATTTTGTACCACCAAATCACACCAAATTGGCAACCTTTAGTAGAAGAACACTCTGAAAACTCAAGAGAAGGCAGAAGAGGAAGGGAAAACTAATTTCTCAAGTAGTAATGAGGATGAATTTATTGTTTTTCTTTTAAGCACTGCAACTACATCAATCAGCCATAACATTAAAGTGACCCCCTTGTTTCTACAGTCATTGTCCATTTTATCAGCTCCACTTACCATATAGATGCACTGTGTAGTTCCACAATTACAGACTCTGCATAGTTTGTTAGCCCCCTTTCACCCTGTTCTTCAATGGACCCTCACAGGACCACCAGAGAGCAGGTCTGATTTGGGTAGTGGATCATTCTCAGCACTGCAGCAACACTGATAGCATGTTAGTGTATGTTGCACTAGTACGAGTGGATTTTTTAAACCCTGTATCCACTGTCACTGTCCAATCTACTAGACACTCCTACCTTATTGGTCCACCTTTGTAGATGTAAAGTCAGAGACAGTAGCTCATTTGTGGCTATTAGTCATACTCTAGTTCTTCATCAGTACCCACAGGATGCTGTTGGCTGGATATTTTTGGTTGGTGGACTGTTCTCAGACCAGCAGTAACACTAAGGAGTTTAAAAAAGCAGTACTGCTGTGACTGATCCACTCATACCAAACTTCAACCTACAGGGCAGAGGTGTTTTTCACTACACAATACCAACCTGCTCTGCCACCATTTGTTTGGACAGCAGCTATAACAACAGAGCTCTGACTGGTCAGCCTGATTTTTAATGCATCTTTACAATGCAGAAAATTGAGCTGGTTCTGTTTAAAAATTATACTCATCATTGCAGTCTCTCAGTTTTGGACCTAAATGTGAAGGACGTCATTAATATGCATGTGTTGTAAGATTTTTGCCCATAAAAATAAGACTAGGAGTGAACAGGTCTTACACTTGCATCTCCAGACTATTTCTGCTATGTTGTGTTGAGTGCATCATGACTTTGAAGAAGACCCTTAAGCCCTATTAACCCTGTGTCTTCTGCTCCACCCCCAGTGTTGTTGGCTTTGAGGAAAGATTAATGATTCTCAGTGGCCATTAAAAAGAATAGTTTGGGTAGAAACATTGACATAGAGATAACATCTTGCTATGTGAGTATAGATAAGCCAGGACCAGTCACTGTTTAAAACCATTCTACAGCAAACAGAAGCGAAAAGTAAACCATAACATAGTCACATTTGAACTTGTTGAAGTGTTGACAAATACTTAACTAACCATCTTAAAAACTGGATCGGCCTCTTAATGAATAGACAGTTCTTAGTTTTACTGGGAAATCATTAATCAAAAAATGTTAACATGTGGAGTCCCACAAGGTTTGGTTTTAGGGCCTTTGCTTTTCTCCTTTCATGTGTTACCTTTAGGTAATGTCATCATGAAACATCATATCAATGTTCATAGCTATGCTGGTGACATGCAGTTATACATTTCCATCCCTTCTGAAAATCAAGACTCTGTTGACAAGCTTACCAGCTGTGTGTGAGATATTTCTCAGTGGATGGCGCAAAATTCTCTACAACTAAATCAAGAAAACTGAAATCAGATCTGTAGTATTCAAACTCAAAGAAACCCTTAGATTCTGAGTTCTGTTTTATCCAACAGTCAGTAAAGTTCCATTTTGTCATTTGAGAAATATCGCTAAAGTTTGGCCATTTCTATCTCAGAGTAACATAGAGAAACGTGTTCATGCATTTATTACAAGCAGAATTGATTACTGTAATGCTTTTCTTACTGGACTTCCTAAGAAAACAATACTTCCTCTACAACTTGCACAACATGCAGCAGCACGCATCCTAACAAAAACAAAAAAGAGAGATCATATATCACTCCCATTTAGAAGGAACTGCCTTGGCTACCTGTATCTTTTAGGATAAATTTTAAAGTTATTTTGCTAGTTGTCAACTGCAAACCTCACAGAATGTCTCTCTGTTTATGTTGATCTTAGATCTGCAGATTCCGGCCTTCTGCAAATACTTTTCTGTAAAATACAGAAAACGTGGAGAGGCCTTTTTCCGTTATTATGCTTACAAACTATGGAATTCAATTCCACCTTTTATTAAATAGTAAAGCTCAGTGCTCACATTTGGTGAAAATGTATCTGTTTAATT